GTTCCATCTACTCCTCTCCACCTCCACCACTGCCACCCAAATTCAAAGCCCAACACTCACGTTTGCCTCTCTCCAAAGTGACATCCGAGCCCAGTACCTGCCTCCAGCTCCAGCTTATACTCCAATGGCTTCTTGCCCTCAGGATCTAAAACAAAGCCCTAACCTTGGCCTTCAAGACCTAGCACCATGTGGCCCCACCAGCCGCTCCAGCCTCATCTCCTCACACTCCTTTGTACTCCAGGCTCTAGGAACGGGGGCCTTTTGAGCCCTAAGGTCTCCTGCCTGAGCTCCTTATCTCCCGTCCCTTGTCTTGCTAGTGCCTTCTCATCCTTCAGGTGTAACTGACAGATCTCCTCCTCAAAAGGACTTGGCTGAGTCCTCAGAGACCAGTTCTCTTCGTTCACAGCCCCCAGTCAGCAGCCTTATCACAGCTATTAAAGAACTGTGCAATTCGGAGCCTAATGCCCCTGTCCCTACTACCATGTAAGTCGTAGGAGGTCAGGGACAACATCTGCCCTGGTCACTGCTGCTTTCCCAATGCCTAGCGAAGTGTTAAACACAAAAGAGACATTGAGTCTTGGTTGAATGAAATATAGTGGAAAGGCAGAGTTAGAGGTTTAAGGTGAATTGCCTGCGGGTTTTTCATCTGAACACTTTGCCTTTGATTTTCCGCCTTAAACTAAACTAGTATCAGATAAAACACTGAGTTGAACTCTCCTTATTGATTGGCCCTTCAAGTGGCCACTTTCCTGGAGGTGGTAATCCACAAAGTTGTTAGCAGCTGACATTTCCTGTCTCCATCTATGTAACACCTCAGTTATTATCACGTCTCCTGCAGAGACTAAAGAACATGCAATTTAAGTTTGTACACTTAGCTATTTCTGCTTGAATCACTCTTTTTCCTGCAGGGAAGGAGAGACCTTTGTAACATCATTCATGCTTTCTGGATTGTCTTGACTAAGAATCAGTTAAATCACTGCTTCACGCATTGACTTCCTCAGCTCTTCCTGAACTTGGATCAAAGATTTCCTTCTCAATGCGACCTTCCCTGGATCCTTGATCTAAAACTTCCAACTCTCTTCCCCCCTGCCCCCAACCCTCGATGTTTTAAAACTCCCTTTCCTACATTTTCTCCTTAAAACTTCCCACTACCCTCTATATTTTATTGTTCTTGTTTTGTGTCTCCGTCAACCAGAATGAAGATCCTTGAAGGAAAGAACTTTTGTTATTCAGTTTACCCTATGCCTGACATCTACTATTAGTTGATTGAATGAGCAAACCACCTGGATACTGCTCCACATCAGGAAAAAAAAAAAATACATTCAAGAAAATAGGAGCAGAGTCTATTTCTTCAAGTCTCTTTCATTCTCCATCTTCCAAACTGATCGGATAACCCTAACTAGACAGGGGTCAAAAACACTCAACTGTTAACAGCTTTGCCTTCCACAAGAACAGCTGACACCCCTGCTTTAGCTCTACTGCACTGTCTAGCATGAAGCTCGACCTGTAATAAGCACCCAGGGAAGATCTGGTGAGAGTGAGTGAATGAGTCTGAACTGTCATAACAAAGAATACCCCCCGCTTGAGTTTCTTCTTCTCATAACCTTCCCGGAGCAGCACAGCTTTGTCATCTTCATCCCTGGGCTTCCACGTCCATTTCAAAGTGGCTACTCTAGTTCCTGCTGCCATATTTGCATTCTAGCCATTGGGAAGGGGCAAGGAGACATTCCTCTTTGGAGCATTACACCAAATGGCACGTTTCTGCTCCTGTCCTTAGTCACATGACCATTATCTAGCTGAAAGGGAGGCTGGGAAGTGTGGTATGCAGCTGGAAATAGATGTTCTATAATTAAGGGGAGGATGGGCATTGGTCAAATTCTAGCAGTTTATTATATAGACAATAAAAGCAAAGCACCTTGCTTTTCATTTCCAGTCTTACCATTTGTACATAGTTTGTGTTTGCATTCATCATCTTCACCCTCACTGCTATCACTAAGTAGCCTGAAGTGAATTTTGTAAAACTTAAAAGAATTTTATGTGAAGAGAAAGCAATCAGGGAATGTCGATTATTAATCTTAACAAGGGATAGCCCTTCAAACTCTTCTGTGCTTTTTTTACCCACAACAATCCCACACACACTCTTCAGCAAAACTAATCTTGTATTTGGAAGTACAAGCATGGTCACTTTGCTCTGTCTCTCAAACGTGTTACTTGTGGTGCCCTACCTGAATGCAATTAAAGGCTTGTCCCTCATGCACAACTGGGGATGCTATTAGATCGAAAACCAGGGTGCTCAAGTCAAACTGACTGCAGGGTTCTTAACCCCACCACCCCTGCAAGCTATGAAATAAGTACTCTTTGGTTATTTTTCTGGTCAAACACATCAAGTAAACTGTGCCTTTCGACTTTCTCTGAGGAAAATATTAAACATCAACAGGCTAAAGCTCCAACTTGATTGTTAATTTTGTAGGTTCTCTAACAAATCCAGGAACCTGATAACTTCTGGACAAAGATCTCAAAGTTCAAGGAGAAAGAACAGATATTGGTCTCCTAATTTCTTAGTTGAGTCTCCCCTTCTTTGATGAGGCAAGCAATAAAGAGATCTAATATTTAAAGTGCTGAGCTATAAACCATTCAACTAAGAACTGCCATATTACATAATTCAAAGGATGAATTCTAGTTAAAAAAAAAAAATCACATCTGACTTCTGTCTCCTCATTCGTTCCACAAATACTGGAGTGCTTACAATTTATCAAGAACTGCTCTAGCAGTGGGAACACAGGTCTGGCCTCAGAAACCTGACATTCCCATGAGGTGAGACAGTCGGTAAACGGGGTAAAGAAATAAAACCTATAGTATGTCAAATGGGGATAGATGCCATGAAGAATGAAAACCTTTTTCTTTCTCCTTAATTTCCAATCTCATTAAAATATCTGGATAGCAAGGCTTGATGTTGTACATTTTGGAAAGTCTGCCATTCAACAAAAGAAGACACTGAAGAGTGGACAATGTTCTCTTGGGTATATAAAATCCAAGAAACACTTGGAACCAATTTCTCTGAGTGCTTTCAAAAAGGGAGCTATAGCTCCACTCCGACTAAACAGCAAAATTTTTGTCAAAGAAAAGGAAAGGACTAATGTAGAGCGACTACCCACCAGGTTAGAAGGGAACACACGCTACACATGGGAAGGTTCAATGGTTAGCTAGCAGCTTGGGTTTTTTTTCCTTTATCCTTTTCTGTACTGTTAGAATTTTCAGCATTTAGCTCAGATAAAAGTATTATTTAAAATGAAATAAAACGTGAGGTTTTTATTGGATAGGGAAGGGGGTAACAGATTAAAACAAAAGTATAAGGATGCTTTCAAAATTCATCCCCGGCCATCAAAACACTGCCCCAGGGACTGCCTCTCACAGAAATTCTACACATATCCACTTGTTACGATATGGGTAATACGAGTCTAAATGCCCCTTCCGCTGTCCAGCCCACATACTTTAAGACAAGGATGGCTAAGGAAGCTACCAACACCTCTTCCTTATACTTTCCCTATAGTCTCATCCTCCTTTCTTTAAACTATAATCACAAAGTGATTTAGTCAGACAGACAACCTTTTTTTTATAAATTAAGTCTTTATTAACAATAGGCTTACAAATTCAACAAAAACACAGTAATATTTAACATGTTAAATGGAGGAATTTAAAAATGCTTCCTTCATTGAACCCTATACACTACAGAGCTCTCAAGAAGTACTTTCTTAAAAGCTTGCCCTAGCCTGCCGAGAGCCTTCTTATAAATATGTATAAAATCTGAGCTGCATCAAAACTGCTGTGCTGTGGAGGAGCATTAACTACTGAGTCTCTTGTCTGAAAGAAAACCGAAGCAGATGTCACGGCCAATCCCCTCATCACTTGAACTGTTTGGGCTACAGCAATCTGAAAACTAATCATCTTAAATCGGAGAGAAGCCGACACCTCTGTTGACTGAAATCTTGTGCTAGAACAAATGTTTTTTAAAATATGCTTCTAAAACAGCCACTGAAGTCACTACTAAATACCTTACACTTAAAATAAAAAGGTGTTAAGAAGGAACTGATTTGCAGAAATGGATTCTTTTGATGAAGTCTGGTCTCCAAAAAGAGTAGTAAGAGCTTTATTATATTCATTCTTTTGGGTTAAAACGTTTAGTTTGGGTCTTCCTCCTTTTCTAGTGGGGAGCACATAGCTTTACACCATCCCTTCCTAATGAGAATGAGTTTGCATTTCTCCTATACACAACACAGCAGTGGTAAAAGTATGTACTTGGTGGGGCTGATAAAACTAATGTGACTTAAAAAAAATTTTTTTTTAAGGAGAAAATGAAGAAAACTAATCAAGGGTGGATCTCCTAAAGTCAAGTAGCATCAGAAATAATTCCTCTCAAAGCAGCAGAAGAAATGCAAGAGATAGTAAGAATAAAAACGAGTTCTTGTGTGCCAGGCACTGTTCTAAGTACTTTATTTGTATGACTTTATTTAATCTCCCCCAAAAGAAAGACTGGAAACTGAGATACAGAGGGGTTAAGCAACTTGCCAAAGGGCACAGAGCTAAGAGAGCCTATGAGACCCAGGAACCCGTGGAGGCAGGCAGAACTCAAAGCTGGTTCTGCTAAGAGCTACTCTATATCCTAATCATCAGGTCAACACCACTCATTTACAGCTAAGACCAAGAGAAGGGAAATTAGTGTTTAAACAAAAATACCCCAGACTAGATCTAAATACTTCTTCACAACACAACTAAATTAAACTCAACAAACAAAGAAAAATACATCAACTCTCTTACAAACAGAACGGAAAAACACTGATCATTTTGAGCAAACCTGCTGAGTGGAAAGGCATGGTATATCCATTTTCTATTGCCCATGCACACACAGATATAACACAGCCGGTCAGAGCAACTGGTCATCTCAACCCTTTTTATAACTGCACTCAAACACGCTAAGTCAAAAGACAGTACACACACACACATTAAGCAGGTTTCGAGATTTATTAAAATAAAGTATTAGCAAACAATATGCAAAAACAAAGTTCTTAAGAGCTATGGCTTTGAAAAGCACAATATAGTAAAACCTAATACATTTTTATAAGTATCAAAAAGGCAACAGAATTGAAACATGTTGCTAGAATTTCATTTTCTACAACAAAAACGGAAGCAGAACAAGTACAAATAAGAAGCAGATCTATAGTGCAGCCATTGGTTTGGTCTTTATCATCTGCATATGCAAAACCTTTTTAAGAGAAGATGGGCCGGTACATACAAACATCCAGTTTTCTTGATTACAATCCTATCCAATTTTAAAATAAGTGATTTTCAAAATGCAATTTTAACCCACCAGATTAAGAAGAAAATCACTTGCCCAACTATTATCTTCAAGAGTCCCTACACATAAAATACTTCATGAATAAATCAAGGCAACATCATCTCCAATGACATGAGAAGGGAAAAATCCGATTCTAAAAAATTCCTTGTAAAAGTAAGGAACGTAGAATTGTTTGGCCTGTCGTTTTATTATAGTCAATACCGGCTAGTATCAACAAGGCACTACTTACTGAGGGAAAAGAACCTACCCATACACAAAATTCTGAACTTTTTAAGAACACTACCTTCAAATGAATCCTTAAAGGACAATGGTTTATGATGATTCCAAGAATTTTCAGAATTGAATTATTTGGACAAGAACCACACAGATCTTTTTCATTCTGCCATGAATGACAGAAGAATCCTGCACTTGCATCTTTTCACCAAAACATCCCATTATTTGTTTTACAGCAACTGCTACCAGCAAGTATTGTATCATAAGCTCTTATTTGAAAAAAATATTTTTTTGCTATGTGAACTCCTTCTCATTGGTTTTTGTAAACCATCCAATTTCAGGTTAACACTTCAGTTGTAACACAGTTGTATTTTAGAAGAGAAGCTTCTATTAGGAATAATCCAACAGAACAAAGGTTGGATAAATACTGTCCCCTCTCCTAAGTCCAGCAGGCACCAGTTTATGCAGAAGAAATGCCTTGAATTGTCACTTCCCATACATGCATCTGCTGTGAGGAGAAAACCTTCCCCAAATCCCACCGGCATCACCCGGGAAAATGGGTGCTGCTCTGGAGGAAACAGGCCTCAAGCCTGAGATTACCCCCAGGAAGCTGCCCTGCTTAGTATCTCAGGAGACCACCCATAAACCAATGTTCAGGAAAACTCCCTCCCACAAAAATCACCAAACATGCCTGAAACCACCATGCTCTATCTACCACTTTAAAAGATCCTTGCTTATCTAGCTCCTTGCTATAATGAGGACACACATCTATATTCCTATCTGAGAGAGGGAGTGAGGATTTAACTGCTAAGACAAAGAAGGGCTCAGACCCTATTAACAGATCTAAAACTGAAGTCATCACTGGAAGTTGAATTCAAAATTATCAGAAGAGCCTTCCTTCTTCAATAAGTATGAAAGATAACCAAAATATTTTAAGTGGGAAAGTGATAACAATCCAAAGTAATACTGAGCAAGGAACTACAAAGAGTATAAAGAAATTGATCTAAGCTGATGTATTAGATGCTCTCTGTAAAGGACAGTACTTAAACAGGTACTATCAGACTTTTTGGAGGTTCTCTGCTACTGGTAGGATTTTATTTTTTGTATAAACCTTCTCCTTCAACAGAATACTATTACAGGAGGACTGTTTCCCACAGGTACCCTCAAGGGTTTTATAATGTGAGCCCCAGTTCTCATCCTGACAAGAGATTTCAGATCCGAACACTTATTGATCATTTTACATCTTAAAAGGATATCTTACTCCCAAATGTTGTGAAAAGTATAAAGTAGCTATATCCTCTTTCTGTATTATGAGGTATATAGCTCACTGAACTACCTAGTAATCTTACTGTGGATTTCAACTCAGAAACCCAGCCAATTCTATTACCACAGTTTCCTTATATAACAATAAAATGTGAAAAATGATTTATATTCTGATGTATATGACTTGACATTTTGTTTGATGTCTTCTTTAATCGCTAAGGAAAAAGTGTTAGCTTCAGATCAATAACATGCCTACTAGTTGACATTCCATAACTTAAGCCAAGCAATACCAAAAAGACCATAATACTTTATTATGAAGAGATGCTGATCAAATGCAACTCTTAAATTTTTTTCCCAATCATCTTTCTGTTGCATTAATTCATTACTCAGATTAATTTTGTTTCCATTTCTCTTTCTGCATTTACCAAACCAGTTGTCATTTTATTATTTCCAGACTCTGGTCTTTTCAGCTCACATATGTTAATTTGTTATACAAGCTATAAAACGTGATTGTTCCAGTGGTGTTGATGTTTCCATAAATTTGACTATAAACCATTCTAGAGATTAAATAAAAATTTAAAAGTGTAATTTTCTGAAAAGGTTTCTTTCAGAAGTGTCTTCTTTTCATTGGTCACTGGCAATTTTTATTTCCCATCCATGGATTTTGGGCACCCTCGGGAATTAGAGAAGCAGCTACACAGAATACAATTTTCACTTAAAATCCAGGGATGGGGAGTTAATCACTTTTAGGAAATACAACAGGCTTATACTTTTCCATGAAACTTTTTAACAGTTAAGAGCTTCAGTACTGCCCTTCATGAGATAAAATTCCTTAGGGAAAACACAGAAAAGGCCAATCACATAAAACTCTGCCAACTTTCTAAAGGCTGTAACATGAATAAAAACAATTTTTACTTAACTCAATTGAAAATATCAATAAAACAATTCAATAGTTTCCACCAGTTCAAGCCCACTGAAGTTGATTACGTGTATCTGTCATTCAACCTGGATGGTTTTTTTTCCTATAAATTTGTTCCAAAGATTGTGCCATAAACCTGGGAAGCAAAAGAATAATGTAAGTAGCTGCGTTTGAACACGAAGCAAATAATTCTCTTTCATGTGGCTGACACAACTCTGGAAGATGAAGAATGCATGTCATGTAAAACTTATGTGTAACTCAGGCGAGGGTCAGAAAGGATCCTTTTACCCAGCAAAGAACCGCAAGCTGAAACACATATGGCTCGTCACCTGAAAGAACTAAAGCCACCCACCGGCTGCACTTTGTAAAAGCAATAAATAATGGCACAGAGAACAAAACCAACTGCATTCTCCTTTCCTCAAAAAATGCAATTTTTTCTTCTCTTAAAAGCAGAAAGGGCAAAGTCGAAAGTCAAACCAAACTGACATTTTAAATAGAAGACTGACATGGCTCCATATACTTTCAAAAGGCACCAGAAAATAGCTTTCTCCAATAGGTAAATTAAGTCTTTTTTTTTTCAAAATAATGTCTCTGTTCTCATGCCATAACAAAGTGTCCATTTGACTGCTCTCTAGAAAAAGAGGTTAAAAGTTCTTTACCCAAAGCCTTCAAGCATGACTGACTGACTGAACGGGTATTTCAGAGTATCCATGTCTTTCCTCTCTTGAGGACTGTGCTCTGAGAGACTAGCAACCACAGAGGTGCAAAAAAAAAAGAAGAGGAAAAAACCAGCATGCATGGTAACTGAGAACAGTCTGCAGTCTTTGATATGTGAATATTTTAAAGTCAACTATCTCCACAACCACTGCTTATTCATTCAAGTACCAGACCAGTAGCCTCAACTTGGGGCCAGACTGAAGAGGCTCTTCTGGCTACAGGACACAGGTCTGTTCCTTGCTCAGGGCAACTGATGCCAGTAAGAGCAATGGGATTAAGTATGTGATTTTCCAACATGGATAACACCCATAAAGCGGTAGGGACTTAAAAAGGCACCTTAAATTGGAGCTATAGAATAACAGTCTTATAATCTAGGTTGAAAAATACAACAAAAGCTAGAAAAAGTATAACTTCCTACAACTGTAATCTATAAACTGCAGTGTTTGTTAATACAAAAGGGTACCAAGGAAGTAAGGATGAGCATCCAAGTCCAAGTCACTTGAGTGTGTTTCACAAAAGATTACACTAGAAACTGTCACCCATCAAAGTGCAAAATAAAAGATTAATGCATGTCAAAATTAGAGTTCTTACAACATTGGCCAAAAGCAGCAAAGCTGAACAAGGCCGTGCGTGCACTGTCACTAGCTATAAAGTAGTACTTATGACAGATTCTGAGTAAATGACATATAATGGAGATCTGTTGTTTACAATAAATTTTTTTTTTTAAAAAAGGAAATGTTTTACAAAAGATATACTGAGTGAAGTCACAACAGACTGACAAACATTTAGCTGTATTAAATGTAAATTTTATGACATCACCTAGAAAACTATCACTTTGCTTTTACTGAACACTACTTGTTAGAGCAGTGCAGCATAGTGTTCCTTCAAATAAAAGGGTGATTTTTTTTTATAGTTTCTTTTCAGCCTCTACCATATGCTTTTACAAAACAATGAATTACACTTTCTTCACATTGGTAGGACAAAGAAACTGGTAAAAGTAGATCTTCTGTAGGGTTAAGAGGAGAAGGGAAGACTTTTCACGGCACACCTTCTTACACTGTTATAATTTGTCATCACGTGATGTATTACTTTTTCAAAAAAACTGAACAAATAACAAGTTGGTTGGGACAAGAAGGCAAAATTATGTCCCAGTTTAAGATCAATGCCAAACTTGTGAACTGGGGTACAACACTTACTTTACATTTCTCACAACACTTTTGAGAGTTAATCACATGAACATGAATAACAAACAAATGTAGATTCATCACAAAATACAAATGTATTGGTCACAATTATGTAGAAAAAAAATAAGCTGTAATATCTGTTTTCCATGTAAGCTCACAGTATCTGTACTGAAAGTTTCCCTAAAATTAAAACAAGTCCATTAATAATATAATTGAAAAGACTACTTCTGCACTATGAGACGGAAGATATGGGGTTCAGAGGGGAGCCCATCTGAGTCAGGACTTTATCCAGCCACTGAAGAGGCCCATGAAGATGAATCTCAATCCAACAGGGGGTGCTGGTAACATCCTGCCGGTGATATTCTGCTCCCCAGCCCTAAGAAAATGAAAAGATATCATAGCAAATACCTCTTTAAACTGTCAATCAGCCTAAAACAATTTTAACAAACTAACAAAGAGATACTTTAACAGTGGAGGACACAAAACCAATCTCAGGATTCACCATGGAATTAAAAGCAACAGAGTTGGGCGCCTGGGTGACTCAGTCGTTAGGCGTCTGCCTTCGGCTCAGGTCATGATCCCAGGGTCCTGGGATTGAGCCCCGCATCGGGCTCCCTGTTCAGTGGAGAGTCTGCTTCTCCCTCTGCCCCTCCCTCCTCCACTCGCTCACTCTGTGTCTCAAAAAATAAAATCTTTAAAAAATAAAAAAATAAAAAATAAAAGCAACAGCGTTGCAGTACTGAAAGAGATAGGATTCCCTTAACAGAAATCCTTGGGGCAAGATATGTTTCAGAATTCTTTTTCTTTTTGAAGTTTAGAAAGTTAATACAGTACAACAGCTCATAATTAAAACACTATTATTTCTGCAGTGAGATACATTCTCACTTAATGGGATAAATAAAACCCACAAACAGCCTCATATAAGTTCACATCAGATTTTGTTGCGAAAAAGTTTTGGTTTTCAGGTTTGGGATTTTTTTTTTTTTTTAACTGAGGTAAGACACTGTAGATCTGATCAATGCACACAACTGTAATTAAAGTAGCTGGGATGAATTACACTAGAACACTTTAGCCTAAAATTCTAGATAAAGATTAAAATTTTTTTCACTTTTATTTGCCTGGATTCACCAAGCTCTCTGCTTTACAGCTTACAGTAGTGCTGGCCCAGGAAAATGAGGCTTGGGAGGAGGAGATGGGGAGTAGAGATTAAACACATAAAAGTTATGTTTCTGGGGCACCTGGATGGCACAGTTGGTAAGAGTCCTGGGATTGAGCCCCGCATCCCTGCCCTGTATCCCTGCATAGTCAGGCTCCCTGCTCAGCGGGGAGTCTGCTTCTCACTCTCCCTCTGCTCCCTCCACCCCCACACACTCTCTCTCTTTCAATCAAATAAATAAATAAAATCTTCAAAAAAAAGTTAGGTTTCTATGGAGGGGGAATGCCTTTGGGGCTACTGATAAACTGATGCATAGAAAAGACCGACAGCAAAGCAGCAAGGCAACACTGAACTGTGGGTCTGAATGTCAAAAAGAAGAAGCCCACTCGGAGCATTTCACAATTGTTCTTCTTTGGTTAAAACCTTAAGGACCGAGTGGATAGAGTACAGGATGCTTATATGTGTCACTAAAATTCTTCCCTAATTTTACTCACAAACCATCATCTTCGGTAGGCCAGTAAAATCAGGCCAAGAGCAAGTGATAAATTTGAAAAGTTCTTTCAACTCTGCAAATCCTTAATAACAGAGGTTAAATGCAAGGAAGCTAATTTTAGTCTTCTAAAGAATTTTTTAAGTCACTCCAGTGGGATCTAACAATAATTGAAACTGCCGAAGCTAAGGAACTTCAAAAGCAATTTTAATATTAAATGCTTTCTAGCAATTCAGTCTTTAACCGAAGCTCTTTATAAACTCAGCCCCTATTCAGTATCAAAATCAGTATCATGCATTTTATGTCTGGATTATAAAATTAAAACTTAGACCTACCGTGTGGTTTTAAAGCTTTAAAACTCAAGAATATCATTTAAAAACCTATTAAGTCAGGTCAAAAGTAAATACTGACTTTCATTTCACAAAGACATTTTAAAATCATAACCTATAGAAATATAATATACATATTTACAGTGACTGAAATTAAGCTACAGGTTACAACCCACTCACCTTGACAAAACTCATTCGAATGGTACACATTTTGGTGAGCTCATACACTGCCTCAAATCCATGGTTGACAGATTGAGCCAGAAGCTGAGCAAACTCTTGGTTGTTAAAAATTTTGAGGCTGCAACTGCTGGGAATCTTACAGACAGTGGTAGGATGAAAGCCATGATGGAAGTTGCAGTTCCTACTCTGAACAAATATGCTGCTGTCACTGAGGCACTCTGCATACACTTCTCCACCAACATAGTACAGGTGAACACCTTAAAAAGACGAGCATTACAAGACTCACCTTAATATACCGCAGCATAACGAAACCAAAGCGGTTGTCTAGAGTGCAATCAAGAATACCCGCTAACCTACAGCAAACGACCAACAGTCTGTAGACAGAAGCTACCACTAGAGGGCCTTACACTGCCGAAGATAATCAAGAGGTCTACAATGGTCCTTAAATAACTAAAATGTAAGCCTCAGGTTGGCAGCTTATTAGGTTTATCAGTTCTTAAGTTCTTTTCTCTTTGCCAACAATCATTTATTATCTCTATGAGAGAAAGCAAAGACAAAAAGAAAAAAAACACCTATGATGAGTCCTTTCAAAGGAACATTTGGTGCTAAGTTAATTTAACTATCACAAAGAGTCAATTGGCAAAATGCTCTGCATTCTTTTTTACTAATGGAGAGTACAGGAGCATTAAAAAAGACCCTTAAGTAGGGCGCCTGGGTGGCTCAGTTAGTTAAGCGACCGCCTTCGGCTCAGGTCATGATCCTGGAGTCCCGGGATCGAGTCCCACATTGGGCTCCCTGCTCAGTGGGGAGACTGTTTCTCCCTCTGAGTGTGCTCTCTCTCTCTCAAATAAATAAATAAAATCTTTAGAGAAAAAAAAAAAAGACCCTAAGTCACATATGTAATTTCAGGTCACAAGAAGAGATTTTAAATGGCAGATTTATTTTACTTCCCTTGAAAAGAATGGTTTTGGTATTTTAAAAATATATATGTAAATAATGTGAATATACTTTCAATATTAAAACTTCAAATTATATAGCTAAAGCTGAAGTTATTTCCAACTTTTCACCACCACAAACAATGCTAAAAAGACCATCCTTGTACACTCATACCTCATACACATGTGAGTCAAAGACTTATATTAGGCTATGATACGAAAAACTATGTTTTGTTTCTGAGCAAATAAAATGACCCATGGAGGAAGGGATCCCAGAACTGGATACTAGGAAAAATGGGAAAACAGTCTAGAATTTAAGAATTCCACAGGTGGATTTTTCTTAAATCATCCTACGGTAGTGGGAAAACCAATACACAGAAGTGAGGCATTTCACCTACAAAATCAATGCCACGTTGGCAACAGTCAAAAGAGAATGGAAGCTTTCTTGTCAACTTATTTTTGGCCATAGTATTTTGCTGAATCTCTTCTATAAGAAATGAGATTACAATTATAATTATACCTTTTGTAGGTACAAGTATAGTTTACCTTTTATAGGTAAAGGGTGTAAGTGTACCTTTGGTTCTAACTTGGACTAAGACTTCCTTCAAGTCCAAGAAGCAAAACAGAGCTAGTGGTAAAAACTGAACTCACAAGACAGGCAATACACTCTACCTGGGATAGGCTTCCTTCCTGACCACTTGATGCATGAGACTCGGACATTCCACCGAGGTGGGAGAAGTTTGTTTGTTGTGGCAACTGTCTTGTGAGATGAAATATAAATAAAACCTAGTTACCTGAATTTAAAAGGCAGAGGGGTGGTGGTGAAGCCACCGGAAACTTGTTATCATTCAAACTGGACTTCTTACCTGTAACCCAGCTCCTCCAACATAACAGAAATTCTTACAAGGCACCTCAACTCAAAATACCGTAATTAAAAAATTCTAATCCTTCACCAGCATTCATATATTCCACAAATATTTGCCGTGTACTTACTATGAGCCTGGCACTGTTCTAACTGAAAATAATGCTGTGAACAAAGCAAATTTCTGTAAAGCTTATATTCCAGTCAGGAAGACACTCAAAAAATAGATATAGAAATAGTATGATTTCAGATCCTAAGTACTATGACGAAAAACTAAGCACGATAAGGAAAAGAGGCCTGATTAGGTCTTGACTTAATACATTCTCTAGCATCTGCAACTTGAGGGCACAGCCCACGCCTCAGGCTCGCGGTATACTCCAGCGCCTTACACAACTCACAGTACACAGTGAGCACAACAAATGACTGACTTCAACTGAACGCAGGGAAATGACAAAATTACCTTTTCCGATATGTCGCCTAGTGTTTTCAATTGTTGAATTACGATTAACATTTGACAACAACCCCAAGCAGAATCTACTTTTGTTATTTGAAGGGTCTGTGAATCCATCTACTAACACGCTAGTAGAAGATGCATGAAAAGCCTCCCCAACACGATTGTTTAATTCATAGTAGACAATTGAACACCAATGTTTCGGCTCTTCATAGGCAACAGGCTGAACGTCTGTAAACAAACCAGACAAAAAAACGATTAATGAGTGAATTAGAAACCCCAGATTCTTTGTTTCCTTTAAGCCAACACAAGCACTCTATGAAAAATATTTTCAGATATTTCACTTAAGTATCACTGTCCTCCCTGGCTTTGAGTCTATTACCTTACAAAAAAAAAGAAAAACAGTATGTCTTGAAAATGAATATTTTAAAACTTATCCAAATACAAGGATAGGCAGTATCACATTTATTTTATTTTTCTTCTAAATTTTTTATTATTGAAGTAGAGTTGACACACAATACCATAATGGTTTCAGGTGTACAACACAGCGACTAGATAATCCTGTATATTACTCAGTGCTCACCACGATAAACGTAGTTGCCATCTACCAAACAACACTATGCAATATTATTATATTATTCTCTGCTGTACTTTTCATCTCCAAAACTTATTTAATGTGTAACTGGAATTTTGAATCTTTTAATCCTCTTCTCCTGTTTTGTACACCAGCCCCCTCCAGCAACCACCAGCTTGTTCTCTGTATTTATGAGTCTGTTTGTGGTTTATTATTTTTTCATTTGCTTTGTTTTTTAGATTCCACATATGTGTGAAATCATATGGTATTTGTCTTTCTTTGTCTGACTTATTTCATTTAGTATAATACCCTCTAGGTCCATCCATCTTGTTGGAAAATGGCAAGATCTCATTCGTTTTTATCATTGAATAATATTCCATTGTGTATATACCTCCTTATATCTATTGATGGATAATATTCCATTGTCTTATATATATCACTTATATCTATTGATGGATACTTAGCTTACTCCCATATCTTGGCTATTGTAAATAATGCTACAACAAACACAGGGGTGCACATATCTTTTCAAATTAGTGTTTTTGGAAAAAAAAAATTAGTGTTTTTGCTTTCTCTGGGTAAATACCCAGTAGTGGAATTCCTGGATAATATGGTATTTCTATTTTTAATTTTCTTGGAAATCTGCATACTGTTTTCCACAGTGGCTGCACCAACATATACTACCACAAACAGTGCACAAGAATTCTCTTTTCTCCACATCCTTGTCAATACTTATTTGTCCTTCTGATACTAGCCATTCAGACTGGTGTGAGGTGGCATCTCACTGTGATTTGAATTGCATTTCCCTGATGATTAATGATGCTGAACATCTTTTCATATGTCAGTTGGCCATCTGTATGTCTTCTTCGGAAAAAGGCCTATTCAGATTCTCTGCCCATTTTTCTAACCAAATTGTTTGTTTGGTTTGGGTTTTTTTCTTGGTGTTGAGTTGTGTAAGTTCTTTTATTTATTTTGGATATTACTCATCAGATATAACATTTATAAATATCTTCTTACATCCAGCAGACTGCTTTTTCCTTTTGTTGAAGGTTTCCTTAACTGTTACAAAGCTTTTTATTTTGTAGTCCTAATAGTTAACTTTTGTCTATTTTCCTTGCCTGAGGAGACATATCCCATAAATATGTTGTTAAGGCTGATGTCCAAGTGATCACTGCCCTATGTTTTTCGAGAAGTTTTATGGTTTCAGGTCTCACAATTAGGTCCTTAGTCTGAGTTTTTTTAGTGTGTGGTGTAAGAAAGTGGTCCAGTTTCATTTGTTCACATGCAGCTGCCCAGTTTCCCCAACAGCATTTACTGAAGAGACTGTCTTTTCCCCACTGTATATTCTTGCCTCCCGTGTCGCAGATTAACTGACCATATTAAGTGTGAGCTTATTTCTGGGCGCTCTATCCTGTTCAATTGATCTAAAGTTGATCCTGCAACTTTACTGATTTCCTTTCTTAGTTCTAGTAGTTTTTTTGGTGCAGTCTTCAGGATTATACACACACACACACACACACACACACACACACACCACGTAATTTGCAAATAATGATAGTTTTACTTCTTCCTTTCCAATATGGGTGCCTTTTATTTCTTTTTCTTGTCTGATTGCTGCAGTTAGGACTTCAGTACTATGTTGAATACAAATAAGTGGCAAGAATGGCCATCCTTATCTTGTTCCTGAGCTTTTCACCATTGAGTATGATATTAGTTGTGGGTTTGTCATATGTATCGTCTTTACTATATTGAGGTATGTTTCCTCTAAATCCACTTTGTTGAGAGTTTTTATCATAAACAGATAATGATTTCTGTCAAATGCTTCTGTATCTACTGAGATGATTATTACCATTTTTATCCTTCATAAGTTACTAATGTAATATATCACACTGGTTGATTTAGATACTAAACCACCCTTGCACCCGTGGAATAAATCCCACTTGATTGTGTGGTGAATGATCCTTTTAACTTACTGTTCAATTTGGTTTGTTAATATTTTGTTTAGGATTTGTGCATCTAAGTTCATCAGGGATACTGACCCATAGTCGTCTTTTTTGTGGTGTCTCGATCTGGTTTTGGTGTAAGGGAAAGGCTGGCCTTGCAGAATTAATCTGGAAGCTTTCCTTCCTCTTCTATTTTTGTAACAGTTTGAGAAAAATAGATATGAACTCTTCGTTAAATGTTTGATAGAATTCACCTCTGAAGCCATCTGGCCTTGAGCTTTTGCTTGTTGGGGGAGTTTTTTGATTACTGATTCAATTTCATTACTAGTAATCAGTTTGTTCAGATTTTCTACTTCCTCCTGATTTAGTTTTGGAAACATTGTCCAATCTGTTGGCATACCATTTTTCATAGTCTCTTATATTCCTTTTTATTTCTATGGTTTGAGCTCTTCTCTCTTGTTTCTGATTTTATTTGGGCCTTTTCTCTTTTTTTCTTGATGAGTCCAAGCGTTTGTCAATTTCACTTATCTTTTCAAAGAACCAACTCTTGGTTTCAATGATCTTTCCTATTGCTTTTTAAGTCTCTATTTCATTTATTTTCACTCTGATCTTTATTATTTCCTTCCTTCTACTAACGCTGAGTTGTGTTTGTTCTTCTTTTACTAGATCCTTTAGGTGTAAGGTTAGATTGTTTATTTCAGTTTTTTCTTGTTTCTTGAAGTAGGCCTGCACCACTATAAACTTCCCTCTTAGAACTACTTTTGCTGTGTCCCAAAGTTTTTCAACAGGTGTGTTTTCACATTTTAAATTGTTTTTCTAGCACAGTCTAATCAAGGTTTAAATTTGTAAAACAAGCCTCTGTATCAGCAACCTGAAATACTTAATTATACCAGCATTTGTAAAATTATTCTAAGCAAAAATATGAACTAAAAAACCAAGCAAGCTAGGAATAGAGGGTAACTCCTACAATTTGATAAAGAACATTTACAGGAAACTTATACCTAACTTCATACTTAATGGTGAGGAACTAGAAGATTTCCTGCCAAGATCAGTAACAAGTTAAGTATGTTCTCACCATTCCTTTTCCAACACTGTACTAGAAGTCCTAGCTAATACAGTTAAGAGAAAGGGTAATAGAAGGTATACAAATTGGAAAGGAAGAAATACAATCATCTTTGTTCACAAATGACATGGCTGTCTACATAAAAAACCTGAAAAAAAATGAAAAAAAAAAAAAAGAACTCCTGGAACTAATTAAGCTATTACAGCAAGGTTGCAAGATGCAAGGTTAATATACAAAGTCAATCACTTTGCTATATACCAGCAATGACCATGTGAAATTTGAAAATAAAAATTCATGACCATTTATATTAGCATTCAAAAGAACAAATACTTAGGTAAAAATCCAAATAGGTACAAGACCTATATGAAGAAACTATAAAGCCCTAAAGATAGACATCAAAAAGGAACTAAATAAATGCAGAGAGAGCCCATGTTCATGGAAAGGAAGCCTTAATACTGCCATGAAGTCAGTTCTTCCCAACATGATCTATAGGTATCAATGCAACCCCAATCAAAATCCCAGCAAATCATTTTGTGAGTATCAACAAACCGATCCTAAAGTTTATTTGGGGCAGCAAAAGACCCAGAACACCTAACACAATACTGAAGAAGAACAAAATCAGAAGACTGACACTATTCAACTTACCATAAAGCTACAGTTATCAAGACAGTATGGTACTGGCAAAAGAACAAACAGATCAAAGGAACAGAAGAGAGAGCCCAGAAAAAGACCCATATAAATACAGTTAACCAATTTCTGATGAAGGAACAAAGGCAATAATGGAGAAAAGATAGTCTTTTCAACAAATACTACAAGAACAACCACAGGCAAAAAAATTAATCTACACACAGACGTCACACCCTTCACAAAAACTACCTCAAAGTCAAAGACCTAAATGTACAACACAAAACCGTAAGAGGTTCTAGAAGATAACATAGCAGAAAATCTAGATAACCCATGAATATGGTAATGACTTTCTAGATACAACATCAAGGCATGAACCATGAAAGAACTGATAGGCCAGACTTTATTAAAAATTCAAAGTTTCTGCTCTGCAAAAGACACTATCAACAGAATAACAAGACAAGCCACAGCCTGGGAGAAAATATGTACAAAAGACATACCTGGTAAAGGACTATTATCCAAAATATACAAAGAACTCTTAAAATTCAACAAGAAAATAAGTAACCCAATTTAAAAAATGGGTCAAAGACATAACCAGCCAGCTCATCAAAGAAGATATATACATAACAAATAAGCATATAAAAACATGCTCCACATCATGTGTCATTGGTAAATACAAATTAAGATAGCAATAAAATACCACTATACACCCATAAGAATGGCCAAAATCCAAAAGTGTGAAAACACCAAAAATTGGTGAGGATGTGCAACAATAGGAATTCTCATTCACTGCTAGTGGGAATATAAAATGGTACAGCTACTTTGGAAGACAGTTTGGTGGTTTCTTACAAAACTTAACATACTCTTACCATATTATCCACAAACATGCTCCTCAGTATTTACAAAAAGGAGGTAAAAAATTATGTCCACATAAAACCTACACACAGATGTTTATAGCAGTTTTACCCATGACTGCCAAAAGTCTTGAAAGCAACCAAGATGTCCTTTTGCAGGTGAATGGATAAAC